GAGTATCAGAGTGTAGAGATGTTCTTTTGATCAGCCACTCTTCCAGTTCTGTTGCGCACATATCGGCGAGGTGACTGGGGGTATTTTGCCTGGCTTCTTGCTACTCTTCCAAAGGGACACAAGTTTTCTATAGGTCATGCATCATCTGTGCTAGCTACATGCAGATGTCTTTGCATTCCAAGTGGAAGTAGATGGCTGTGTGTAGACATGTGGATTCAGCCTTATTTTCCCACTTCTAGGTAAACTTTCTAAACTCCATTGACAAGATCACAGTTGAGTGCAATGGGAAACACTTGATGCCCACATTCTATCATTTATCCCTGTGACCAGGATTCTTCCATTTTAGTAGAGGTGCTGTAGGTCTTAAGAGATAGTAGCAGGGGAATCACACTTTTTACTTAGCAGTTGGCTTGAAGGGCTGAGCCACTGCCTACGGCAGAGGGTACAGCCCAGCACAGTACTCGAGCCTTTTCCTCCCCTGACGTTATCCATTTCAGGGTTCGGGGCTGCTTGAACCTCTTGTCCCACCTGAGTGGTCACAAGCCTCTGCTTGTCGCACAGGAGCAGCAGGTTTGCAGTGACACGTAGAGGAGGGGGCACACAGTCTGCCCCCCACCAGCCATCTCAGCTGCGCTGGAGCAGGTCAAGGGGCTCTACCTCCCTGGAGAGACAGAGGGGGCAGAGGTACAATGGACTTGAAGCTGGTGAAGGGCCTGGAGCACAAGTCTGATGAGGAACAGCTGAGGGCACTGGGGTTGTTTAACCTGGAGAAGAGAAGGCTCAGGGGGGACCTTACCGCTCTCTACAACTACCTGAAAGGAGGATGGAGAGGGGAGGTGGCTGGTCTCTTTTCCCAAGTAACAAGCAATAGGACAAGAGGTAACAGCCTCAAGCTGTGCCAGGGGAGATTTAGATTGGAGATTAGGAACAGTTTCTTCACTGAGAGGGTGGTCAGGCACTAGAACAGGCTGCCCAGGGCAGTGGTGGAGCCATTGTCCCTGGAAGTGTTCACAAACCATTTAGATGAGGCCCTCAGTGACACGGTTTAGTGATGGTCTTGGCAGTGCTGAGGTAATGGTTGGACTTGATGGTCTTAAAGGTATTTTCCAACCTAGTTGATTCTGATTCTGTAAGGTTACTACAATGGCCATACCTATAGCATTTTGAGGACTGTGAACAGGTAGCATCCCAGTTCTACACTGACACATGGTATTGGTATATTGTGACCACTAAATACTACAGCTCTTCAGTCTGAAACCAAATGACAGTGAATGCTTTCCTTTTCTTTTCTGTGCAGGTATTATTCCACGGCTGTTTAAAGTTGCTCCTGCATGTGCCATAATGATCAGCACATACGAATATGGAAAGTCTTTCTTTTCTCATTTAAATGGAAAGATGAGCCAACATCCTTAGTTCTTCTTCATCTGATTGGATGAAGTCAAAAATACCTGGTGGAAGTTGTGTCAAATTTGAATCTGTGAAGGCATTTTCTAGAACTCCCCGTGAATTTCTGCCATTACATTTGGTAACTAATACATCTTCATTTTTAACACAAAGGATAAATTCACTTTTTTTTTTTACAACTGAGAAAGTAATCATGACAAACTATCAGTGAAGACTTAGTGACTTCTCCTGCCACTAGAGAGAAGAAAAGAAAGGAGAAGGGAAAATAGGTGCCAGCTGTTCTTCAGTGATGGTCAAAAGGGAAAAAAAAGGAGGCTGGACAGAATAATGAGGAATAACTACAGCTACTGTGTTAATTTTCAGTCCAACTAAAAATTTTTGTTGGGTATTTAAAATGAGGTTTAGAAAATTGTATGATATGATTATTCCTCCATAAGGAGGTTGATACAGAATGAATTCAATAAACGTTTATTTTGCTTAATGGATGTTTAATTCTGTGCATGTTTGTTATTTGCAGCTCTGTATTTTGTGTAAATGTGTATTACAAAATATCCCTCTGCTTCCTCTGAGGAATACTTAAAATGAAAGATGCTTTAGGCCAAACTGGAAGAAGCACACTGTGCTCCTTAGAAACCCTCGAGAGGATGGTGAGTAGGTGCTGCAGTGGCTTTTTAGCTTAAGGTATTATGTTAAGAACTCAGAGCTCACACGGGCACCGGAGACGAGTGCCTGTCTGGAAGCACGTGCCCATGCATGGCTTTGGGAGGTCACAGTGCTCCACGGCAGGTCCAGGCTCTGTGCCAGGAAGCATCCCTCACCCCGAGCTTGGGAAGGAGCACTGCATTCTGAAGGCCACCTTTACTGGGATTAGCAGGAGTGGTTCCATGCCAGTGTGACTCAGCATACATCTGTCTGCAAGAAAGAGCACGTGGTTACTACTATAGATGTGGCTGTTGTCTGCAACAGCGTGCTGCACACACACGGCAGGATCAGTTGCCCGCAGCACTCAACCTACTGAATCAGAACTCCCTCTACAGGATCTTTTTTTATTATTAATTAACCACTCTCCCTTCTTTAACCACCCTCACTGCAGCCCTTTTTCCTGTCTTCCAGAGAAGTGGCTGAACTGCATTTTTTGCATGTTTTCGTAAGGGGCTCTGGTACAAAAACAACTTGGTGGTCAGGTCACTAAGACACCAACTTTGGGGTGTGCTTTACCCAAGAAATAGACTACAGTCCTATTCCCCTGTGAAGAAGGTATCCCAGCATGGGTTTGGCTTTGGTGAAAATTCATCACATGCTGAAAAACACCTGTTGTGAAGAGGTTAGGGACAGGTTCTGGCACACTGTGCAGGCAAGAGATCCTGCCATGGGGGGTATCTGACACTGTTCCCCCCCTTGTGATTTCTCTAACTTAGTTTACACTCAAAGCTCAAAATAAGGCCCAAGAGAAAGCCAGCATTAACAGCAGGTTTTGGATCACATTGAATGACATACAGCAGCAAACCCAAAGTCTCCCTGTTGTACAAGACAGAATTTGCTATAAGGTTAGTCATACTGTTGTTTGTTTTAATCACACAGAATTAAAATAAGACCAAACAAAACCTAGAAATCAGCGATGATACAAAAATGTTTAATTTACATGCAACATTCATGGAACGTCAAGGCAACAAAACATACAGTTTTGGCATTTTTTCCAGTCGGTTTTAAAAATGATTCATGTTCAAACTGAGAAAAGACACACAGTAACTGATTTCCCATGCACAAATGACACGCAGGAACTACATAAAAGACTCCAGTTAAATGACACACGAATTTTACACCAGTAGCTCCAAGAAAAGAGCCATCAGCAAACATGACTGAAGATCATGATCATAGCCCCCTCCAAAATGCTGACACAGCAGGAGAAGTGTTGAACAGTGAACAAGACCAATCAAATCACTGTACCTTGATGCAGAATGTTAACTTGTGAAATCTGGATTCCCTCACTGTGTTTGTAGTAAAAATGCATCCCTAGTTTACAAATTGACATTTAATGTTACTCAACTGCCATGAAAACAGGTGCTTAATGTGATAACAAAACCCCAAAAGTTACATGAGGAAATGGACATTCTGACAGTCATTCAGACAGGATTTAATGGGCACAGTTGAGTATAGAGAAATTAACCGGGTGGGTATGTGACGTTTCAAAAGACGAGGTTTGGTGGATTTTGCCAAGCTGCTTCAAAAAGCTGCACTGAAATGGCACCAGTCGTGGTTTATCCCACCACAATGGCCGCTGCGACCTCCAGCACTGTGGACTAGAGAGTTGAGGAGATGTCTCTTGAACCTCCTCCAGCTAAATCCAGCAGTGCCCTGAGACCCAGAGGTGCGGAGCCTCACACCTACACAGGCTGAACATGCCCTGTAGTTTTAGTAAAGGTAAGAATGAATCCTCTTTCAAGCCCACGCCGAGATGACCAGATCACAGTAGTAGTGCCAAGGTACCGTTACAAGAGGCAAATCAACTAAAACCATACAGAGTGTAGTGACAGACTGTAAACACCTAAGAGTAAGCAGTAATTAAAAATCTGCCCTATATTGCAGCTACTCATGTAAACAATTTATGAAACTTCTTTGGCACAAAAGAAGCATTTTCCCTAGCACTTAAAAATACAATGTACTTACATGCATTGAAGTTCAGTTTAAAAAGTTACTAACCATACTGATAAGCATTACTTGATTAGCAAAATCCATAGCGAAAGGATCCATTGTATCTTACAAAGAATTAAGAATACAGTTTGCAAGTCAAAAATTAATTTGCAAACTTTTAAGCTGTAGGGTAATCTGGGAAGTTAGGTTCATTTAAGAAATGTCTCCCTGTTTGCTCCCCCCACCCCATCAGTAATTGAAATCAACGGCAAGTAATTTGCGAAAACTGACTTTTACTTTAGGTTCTGCCGTGTTACCTAATCAAGAAAAATACCTATTGCACTACTACAGGAATGGAAAAAAAATCTTCAACATGAGAATACTGTCATTACATTCTCTTCGTTCCCCCTTTTCTACTCTCCTTGGGACCTTGCCAACACGAAATCCAGACTTCCCAAGGTGCTAACCCCGCCATCTGTAGTCCCCGTCTTTCCAGCAAGGCAAATAAACCAAGAAATTTCTCACATGATGTTTGATTATCTTTAACTCAGGTCACTCAAAAGCATTTAGTGAGTTTCCTCAACATTTGTGAATTGCGAAGTATGCCTCATTTATATGATCAACTTACATTTGTTATTCACATGCAACTTCAAGAATTAGTAAGTGTTTCAGTGTTGCTTCCTCAGTGCGATTCAGACATCTCTTAAGTGCCATGATGCTACAGGAATGCAAAGTCTACCATTCAGTGAACTTGAGCTGTTAGGTTAAACAAGCTATCTGAGGACCTATGCAACATACAGAGATGGAAAGCTGGATTTTTAGGTAAAAGATTTGCCTACAAAGCCTGGTGTTTAGGATCCCCTGTCTATTCTGCAAGAGTTGGTACATATTTAAAGCACTGCAGAGAAGCACCGTGGCTACGGTAGGGCCAAGCCATTGCAAGGAGAAACAAAGGTCTTGGCAGTAAGTAGGGGACTGATTTCCAACTGTTTTATTTAAAAAACAGTCATAAGCATCAGATTATATGTCCTGTACCTGACCGAGAGCTTTAAATAACTCAAGAGTAAAGTAGAAAATCAGAAAAGTCCTCTGGTGGAAAAAAAAAAGTGAACAAAAACTGACAGAATTTGATAATAAAAAAAGTAACCACAGAAGGAAAAAAATAAAGCAGCTTATATGTTGACTCAGAACCAGCAGTTTTCATTATAAGTCATTTTATGGAACATAAACCAAATGCATACAACACAAAGCTCTTCCTTCTTGTGGGTATCTCATGATGGAGTTAAGCCTGGACTTGTCATCTCTGTTGTGGGACTTGCAAGATATTCACTTGATTTCAGACTTGTGAGAGATTTGTAGCTTGCTACTGATGTAAGAGAGCCACAAAGACCAAGCAATGATGGAGTGTCTTCCTTTCCTGTTAAGAAAAATAAGAATTAAGCTAATGATTTGTACAGCACGAGATATCTGACCACAAAACAAAAATGTGGGAATAGAAAAATCTGGTCCACCCACATTATTATGGATTGTATATTACTGTTTCAGCATACCCATACTTCATAAATGACATTAGGAAGACATGTAGTTTATGCCACACCTTCCCTGCCCAGGTGGCAGAGATCCCTACCCATGCACTGCAGGTTGGCCTGAGGTCAGCCTCCTGCAGAAGGAGATTCAGAGGCTCCACAGATCACATGGTGAAGAGAAGGGTCTAATTCAAGCACCAAATACATTATATAGAAACTGAAGTGACCTTCCTAACATGGCAGTACGAAAAACCTAATTCTAAATTTCTCATAAAGGAGTAGAATTAAACAGAATCAGAATATATTTCTTTAAAAATAAACATGTTTTGTTTTTTAAACCTTGGTGATTTGAAGTGCATTAGGCTCCAACCACTTGGAAAAAGCCCTATAGTGCAGGAGTGGCAATGCAAGTATCTGCCCTGTCATTGAAATACACTTGAGAGTTAACATGAAACATACCTATTAGGTGTAAGTCTGCACTGGACAATTTCTCTATTTATTTTATGTCTTCCCTTTCCAGAATATCCATTTAAGTTATTTTGTGCCAACTCTGCTAATACATCACATTATAAAGAATTTGATCTACCAGCATCTCCCTACTTAATATTGCAAAAAATCAGTCGTAAGTAGATCTGCACAAGAACTCTCATCACAATAGCCATGCCGATTGTATTTCACTTTCTCTAAGCTCACTTAAAATAATTTAAAGACTGTTTAGTTTTTTGGAAAAGCTCTAAATTTTAAATGCTGATATTTTAAAGTTACAGTTATGAACTGCTAAGCCCCTGTATTGTCAAGTCTATTTAAAGGTAACATTTGATGAGATAACAGAAAGGCTTTTTAACAGAAAGGATTTTGGGATCTGTGCCCAAAATACTACTGTTTCTGAAGTCTTCCAGCATTTTTCTGCTTTTCACACTTGCCCACTAGATGGAGTAGCTAAACCTTGATAAGGTTTTTAAAAGAGATGTGTTACAATTAAATATATTATCATCTCCTCTTTCCATTTTACCAGAAATGCTGTCAAGCAGCATTTCCACAGATAAATGTTGAATGCAAGATGTAAGAATGACAGGGGCAGTTACAAATCCAGGGCCTTTAATCTTTATTTTACAAAACAAAAAAGGAAACTTAAAGAACTCAAAGATTTGTGTTAGAGCAGAAAGACAACAGAAAATCCTCCTTGTAGCTGAGCTGTCTCTGCTTCTGTGATGGAGAGGGAAGATATGCAATGTACTTGAAGTTTAGCTTCAAATACAGTATGAAGTCTTACAATTATTGGGGGCGAGCATCTTCATAAATCCAAACTTACTTGCAGTATAGTCCTTAGGGAAACTGAAAAAACTTCCATAACAATAAAAACACATGCTGTTGAATGCATAGTTTGTTCACACTGAAAATCATCTCACAGGGACTGAAGATCAGAGCTATGAAGAACAAAATTAAAGGAAGCCACTAGACTGGCTCTGTACCTTCATTTAACAAGTTCATTCCATCATGCTTCCCATCCTGTGAGTGACCTGGGTCCAGAGAGGACTGAGAAAGACTAACTTCTGCTGAAAGTTGGTCCAGACTTTGAAAACTTTTCCTGCAAATAAAGTAATGTTTAATAGTAACACATTTAAGGATCTAACTAGATATCCTCATTTCTCCTTTAAAAGTTGTTGGTTTTAAAAAACCAAAACAAACTAGGCAGTTAATCTTTCTTCTTTTAAAGACACTGTTTCTTTTTTTTCTTCCTAAAGCAATTATTTCTTTTTTGTTTATTTGTGAGGTATTTTGGGGTTTTTTCCTCCAAATTAATTTAAACGAAGGAAATTTTTACGGCAAGCAACAGAAACTGTTTTGTTTTTTTTCCTGCCAGCTGATCCTTCAATATTGTAACAGGTAGTTCCAATAGGATACATTTCAGAGTATGCTAAGGGAAATGTATAATTTTGAGTTTTCCCTTTTCCTCTAAAGGTGAATCAAAATAAATACTCAACTTACTCATCCCATTGCTGATTGTGCTTTCTATAGAGGAGAGTGTCCAAGGCAACAGCATTGACATCCAGAGCTCCTGGGGAAGGCCACTGATTGGTGAGGTGAGTAGTTAATTCTTGTCTTGATCTCAAGTCATTATTCTTTAGCACAGTCCTGTGAATACAAAAAGAAGTAAATCTCAGTCTAATAAATGCAATTCCATAAGGTACAGAAAGAAAAACAAGACAAATAGTCCTGACCAAGCTGATGTTCTACTTCAAGTGACCAACAGAAAGCAATTTAAACTGTTCATTTTTCCTAGGGGAAGCAACTTATAAACCTATTAGACATATGTAGGAAAGAAAGTTGAAATTAGAATCTTCCTGCAAAAGCAATAAAAAAGCAATTGCATTCTAAAGATTCTTTCTGCCAGCATGATGGTAATTAACAAGCCAACTATATTGCAAACCAACTATGGGAACATGATGTCCTTCCCCCCACTCAATTCTTTTTGCAATTCGACCACAACCCCACAGCCTCCCACCCCCAGTACTTTGTCAGAATGAACTAAAACCCAGACATGTTAATTCTATTATATGCTTCCAGGTAAAATACAAGGTATAGTTATTCTGTTTTCTACCACCCTACAGTTTTTAGTAACTTAAGTTCTAAATTACAGACAGTATGTTAACTGAGTACCTTACATGTCCAAATTAAGTTTTGCCTCATATTCCCATGAAGCAGACCAGTTTCCTAAAATTCTGGAAATGAGGAAGCTAATATGCCAATATTAGAAATCATCTGCCACAAGTCATACAGAAATATGGGAAATACATGGTTCAGGCTCCAAGACAATATCAGCCCTTTTCCAATAGTACAAGGCAACCTCCAACCTACCCTTACACTGCTGTAGAATAACTCTAGAAACAAAAGTAGTATTTATTGTTAACCCATAAATCTTCCAGTCCATGAAATATTAGGCAATCATAAAATGCTGCTTTCTGGCCCAAAGCAAATAGCTAATGTTACGTATCCCCACACCAAATTTACTCATGAGGTCAAAGCCAAATGCCATGCTGTTATCTGAAAAGCCAAACTGTGTAGCAAATTAAATAACTATACATGCAGTGATGTGAAATAACAAATAACATTGTCTACAGGTGTGTTTTTACAACGCAGTTTTTCTTCTGCTGGCATTTTAACTGTTTAGACAAGAACCTCAGTAAGGGCACATAACACTACCCAAAGAGCCAAAATTTCCCACAAAACAAGGTAAGACAATACTGAGTTCAGCAAGGAATTTTTAGTAACTGAGTTTGGGAGAGGAGACAGATACACAGCAATTTTGCAAGAGGAGGTGGTAAGCACCACAGTGAACAAAACTGTTTTCAAGGAACTTTTCTCAACATGACGAATTCCCCCAGTGTTCATGAAGTAGAAAAGTCAACTTCTCTACCTGGGGATCTCCCCCCTGCACTCCTCTCTCAGGCGTCTAGAGGAATAAGCAGTTTGGTAACCCAAAGCTCTCAATAATTTTAAGTATCTTGTATGGTATTCACTTCCCCATGTAATTCCCCTAATCCCATGGGGGTACCTCAGGCGTTAAAGGTGTATTAAAGGCTTGCTGATTTAAGGAATCTGGAACAGTGACCTAGCAAGTTCTTACGATGTTAGCCAGTTACACTGCAACACCTCCTTATTCAGGAGGACTCCTTGTATGCTTTCATAGAAGTTTTGTCACAGCACAGTTTGTATTAGCAACGTAGCTAAATGCAAATTCATACATTTGTAACACGTACATGTACATTCCTGTTTCAACAACTCTTGTTGGTTATCACCGCACAATTCAGCAGCAGTGTTAAGTTACTATTAAATAAACATGCTGAGCAAAGATAAAGCCCCCACACATCTACAGACAAGTTGCTAATAGTGGAATTCTGGCATTTTACATAGGTTTCTATATTGATGATATTCCCACAAATCTTTATGTTATAGTAATCTGGAATTTCAGCCTTTCTATGTAGAAAAAGAAGTTCTGAAGCAAAGACTAGCCAAACTGCTCTAGAGATTTATCATAACAACATTCAAAGACAGTTTGAGAAGATCAATACTTAAAGCACTCCACCATGCTCAGGAAGAAAACCATACATTGAGTAGGTTGCAGAAGTAACTATTCGCCTCTTAAAAACTTTTATACTTTTTTTTGAATCTTTAAGAATATGTAAAAATAACTATGAACATATAAAATCAGTCCAAACGCAGCATTCAGTATATAAAAAAAGAAAATACTAGACGAGACAATAGAAAGTTAGACAAAAATATTCACAGCAGGTGCTGGTAGTTACCACCTTGTAGATTATTTAGCTGTTTTCCCTCCTGCAGCCATTTGTAAAGTATCACAAGATTCCACTACAGCAAAGACTTTCTAAAGGCACAGCTTGCAGACAGCAATTCTCCCAAGACAAACAGTTTATGCATATTAACCAAACTTATTTTAACAAGGTATTAAACTGCACAGAATCATAATCAAAAAATCACAATCAAAACCATACTTGTCCAGGTTGGAAAAGACCTTTAAGATCATAGAGTCCAACCGTTAACCCAGCACTGACAAGTCCTCCAACAAAACCATGCCCCTAAGTGCAGCATCTACAAGGCATACATCATTCACACAATCTTAATCATGTGGCAAAAATGATCCTGCTACAAATATTCAAAATCATGAAAAGGAAAATAAATGGAGGCAAAAGCATTTACTATAGAGAGGAGTTAAAAAGGAAGGAAATATGATCAAGTTTTAATGAAAAACAAGCATACAAATTTCAAAACAGTCAGTTGTGAAAAAATGCTGCATGAGAATCGAGTGCTGTGCTGCTTAGTCAGACAGGAAAGAGGAGCTCTTTCTAGCAGTTAAAAGCTCCCAAAAGACAATAATTCATTTTATCCAAAGCAGATTGAATTTCTGGAGCAGGACTCTTGTTCCTCAGAATGCAAACACTGTAACCAGTGCAGGTCATCTCTAGGCTGTGATAGTGTGGGGTTTGAAGTAGAACTTTTCCTTAATGATCACAGTGAGTGCAATGAAGATTATGAGCTTTCCTCTAGATGTTTACTGTCAGGCTGTTTAACCAAAAGAAGAATTTCACTATTAATAAACTTATTTATCTGCTAGTATAGCAAAATAAGTCTGGCATATAAAATCATTCAAAGGAAAAATTAGAATAAAGTCTTCATAGAGCAAAAATAAGAAATGAGGAATTGGTGGGGAGGTACAAATGGGAAATACAGTATTTGTGAAACTCACACATTTCACAAAATATTCAAGAAAAAAATGTAAAGAGTATTTTCTGTTATTTACACGCACATAAAGGGAACTACTGAACTCTCTGAGCTATGACTCATAACTGTTACCAAAACTGCACATAAAAATAGTGTAATGTAACATGCAAACTTCTATGTAAAATGCTGGTCTGTAGTAAAACATAGTGAACTGGAATGGCCTAATTACAAACAGAGTTTGTTCTATTGCTTCTGTTCCTGAGAATGAACTGCTGGCGAAAAACACCAACTGAAAACCAGAATTACCTTAACACATGCAGACCAAGACTCAAAGCCTAGGTTTTATGAAGGATGTTACCTTGTAACTTATAAGCATTAATTTATATGGAACAAAATCCATAATACATCGTAAGACTAATACTGAAAATCACAATAATGCAGTTCTATTTTAAAATAAAATTTAGTTAAATTCTGGGGGGGTTTGTAGCTTTGATGGTTTAAGGATGATGCAAGATAAAGTTTGTAGACCATATGTTAAGCTATTTAATAGAGGAGTAAAAGCAAAGATACTCCAGAAAGGGAAGTGGAAAAGTAAGAGAGAGAAAAGGGTTTACTACAGAGAGAAGTTAAAAAAGAAAGAAATGCCATCAAATCTGAGTTAAAACAAGCAAACACAACAAGCTGTTAACTCCTTTAGACTGGAAATAGAAAACTTGAAAGCCAAAAAGAAGATAGAAGCAATGACTTCTAAATGTCATAATCTCAGGAAGGTAGTTGGTACATGGAGAATATGGTGGATCGTAGAGACTGTGTGATTGTTTGTAGAATGGAAGAAAGGCAGCATGTGAGACATGGCCAAATAGGGTATCCTGAACTGACACAGTGAGACTGAGGAGTGCAGAAAGTTTTGTGCAGACCAGGGAACATATGTAAGAATCTTTTATGAGAGTAGGGGTGTTAAGCAGATTTATGATACATCACCTAATCTAGGCATGAAAAAAATTCTTGGTTGTCTGAAAGCATGTGAACTTCTCCCCCCACACACACACACCCCCACCACTAACTGCTATCTTCTCTACCTACAATAATTTCCATCTCTTTATAGCCATGTTGGCAAAAAGTAGCACAAGTTCTCTTCTATGATCTGCAGAAATAAAATCATCTTACATAAGAGAATTATAATGCACACAGTCTCACCACGTTAGCCCAGATGTTAAAGTTATGACATTTAAATTGTGGGGTTTTTTTAAATGTCTAAACAAAGAAAAAACTCCACACAAATTCAAAATGCTACTGTAACTAGTAACTTACTAGGGGAAAAAAAAAAAAGCCAGCAAAAGAGATGAAAACATCATCTCAGTACTAGAATACATTAAAAACTAACAAATATGTGGCTTACATCTACATTTTTTGTTCTCTACATCAGGAACCGCAGTAAAAACATCCTGCTAATGAATTCCTACCTATTACAACATAATACCGATGACTCACTAATCAACACTAACATACACCCGAGTTAGGACTAAGTGTCTGCTTGAAGTGCAGATATATATGCTCCCTCCAGGCCTGTAAATTTGCTCAGTTTTATTCAAGAATAACAGCAACAGCCAGAGTATTAACATCAGGTTTACACACCTATTCCCAGAAATGTCTCTGCATGCTTTTGACTTCCAGTCCTTTAACTGCATATTTAAGAAGCAGGGAAAAGTGAGATTAGTGAAGCCTCCTGATAAACATCCTTTTCCACTAGTGTTCACCAGGCCTGCCTTTGCCAGGTACTCTACAGAATATTTACTTGCTGATTTCCTCAACTTTTATTCTTTTGAGTTGTTTATTCTGTAATTTATTATTTTAGGGTTATTTATTAAGCATAAGCTGAATATCATGATCTATGA